CCTAAACCCTAAACCCTAAATCCTAAACCCTAAACCCCTAATCCCCTACACCCCTAAACCCTAAACCCCCTAATTTATGGTATGCTGAGAATTCTCAAGTTTCTTTGGCGGCCCGGGAGTTTCGAGTTGAAGGTTTAGGGTTGGGTACGGCCCCCCTCCCAGTAACAGTCTATANNGGCTATATATAATCATATTATAATTTAGGGTTTAGGGTTTAGGGGTCCTATTAAGGGCTATATATAACTGTAGTATACTTATTGTCCAGCTGTTATTGAGGGGGGGCAGTACCCAAGTTTAGGGGCATAAGTACGAATAGTCCACAGCGGAATTTTTGCCAAAGCCCTGTCCTACCATTTGGGCCCTTACGTTAGTTACACCTTTGTGCTATGAATAGGTATACCGGCATCCCTGGCACTATTGCCTTTTTTCTGGTATGCTTGCAACCAGAGCTGCATCATAAGCAGCCAGAATGCACAGGTTGGGGGCTCAGGATTCAGGGTCACCCCTATAGAATCGAAGGGAGATATGTTCAGGGTCCTTGGGGGGGAAGATCACATTTTCATGGTGTTAGTGACAGCTGCAGCCCTTAAACCTGGGATTTTAAAAGAAGCCGAAACGGCGGTTGCGGAGAAGTAGGAGTCCCCTTCATTCCTCATTAAGGATTACCACAGTTGTAGGTATGCAAGGTGGGGCCCCCATGCTTGGAAAAATCCACGCAGCAAAAAGGTGCCTATGAAACTACACTTTTCAAAATGGAAGCCCCGCAGGGCTCTACAACAAGTATATAACAAAATCAATGTTTTTTTTTTTGGGAAAGCATCAGGGTAAGAAGGCATATGAAGATACATGAATTTAGTAATCATACCACGAAGCCTCTAGAAAAGCAATACAGGCTGCCATCTGCCAGCCTCGCACGACAAGTCCGTGGGCGTCTTTGGGTCCCTCACTGGCCTGACAACTTTCTTGGCAGACGCTTGGTTCAGCGCAGGCGTGTTGGAGAAGCCCCTAAATTTTAGGGTTTAGGGACAAAACAGACAGGGTTTGGGGGTTTAGTCTACTAGAACCATACGCAGAATACATTGGTAATTTTCCAAGCTTCTGCAGTACTCCTGGAGGGGCCGTGGGGATATATGAGGATTCAAAAGGCGAATGTAGGTGCATACCTTTCAAGGATTATCAAGCGGTTTTTCTGGAGTGCCCATTTGCTTGCTCTTGCTACCCGGGGAAGTCTTCTGCTTGAACGGTGTATGTTTGTGGAGGGGAAGACAGAGAGAAGACGTAAGGCTTGGGTTTAGGGTTTAGGGTTTGGAACTGTAAGGTTCAAAAAAGGGTTTAAGGTTTAGGGTGCAGATCTCAGAACTATTCCGAGTTCTTGCAGTGTGAATACCAGGTTACCAGAAGCAAGGTATAAGGTTCAGGCTTCCACGTATAACCCAGCTTCGAGCTGCGTATGAACCTCAGCGTAAGGAAGGGTTGCGGTGTTTGGCCAAGTTTTGTACCATGCTTTGCTGCGAAAAGTCCATGCACCTATCTCCCTGGGGATCACGAAGCGATTTGGTTCTGCACGCTCAAAGATATGGCGTGTTGCTCAGATGTTATCACAACTGAGGGTCCGTGTACATGCCTGAAAGCACTTCATATAAAGGAGGCCCCACCAGGGACCCCTACCTAATTTTTGGAGAAAAAAACCTTGTGCGAAAGCCTGAGGGTTTGAGGCTCTTTGGCTAAGTGAAATTGTGGTCTAACAATGGGCTAAGTTGTGAGCATGCTTTGACAAGACAGCTGAGGCCGTAGAGACTCTATGCGAAAGCGTGACCCATACAGAAGACGCCATAAGCTCCATGTGCGCCGAGGACCTGAAGCACAACTACATCTTTCTCCACTCCGACGTGCAGCTGGTGATGCTTGCGCTGGCCATACGAGTGATTACTCTCTTCCAGCTGGAGCTGCGCGCCGGGCAAGGGATGCAAGGATTTTGGCAGCAATTCGTTGCATGGGGGGAAGTCTTGCACCGCCTGAGACTAGGACTAGGATACGCACTGCAAATTGGGGCATTGGTGTATACATGGTGGTGCAAGATTCGTTCATCCACCGTGGCACGCTGCGAAATGTGTCGGTTCAGATGCTTTCTCTGTTCGGGTTCAAATTCACATTGTGAAGTTGAGGAGTTGAGGATAGTAAGGAGTTGGTCTGCCCATTTGATATGGAGGCTTCTCAACCTTTCGATGCGCTTAGGGACAACCAGGATTTAACTGGCGCTTGCGAAAGGATCATGGGAGGTCCTTAGCGGCTTAGCTTTTTCAGGGTTTAGGGTTTCTGGAGCATGTCTCCTGCAATTCCATCCCGGACTGAAGATCATGAAGGATTGTTCTAACCAAGTTCCTGAATCATTCTAAGTCCTAAGCCCGTTAACAGACCACAGCCTCGATCTTGTGGTATGTGAGGATATTCAGGATGTTACCTGGGGCTCTATTCGATTGTAGGACATTATCAGGCTGCTATAGGGGTCCTTTCCTCCACCCCCCCCCCCCGCCCCCACGAGCAGCCATCTCACTTGTGGCTCTCTATTGATCCCCCTCAAACCCTAAAACCTAAACCCTAAACCCTAAACCGTTTTGTTTGTTTCGGCTTGCAGGGCTCCTCGTCTAAGCTCAAAACCTCCAGATCTGAATCCCGCGCCTTAGACCGTAAAGCCTGGGCTTACTTATTGCTTGCTAGTAGGGAATGAAGGAATGGATCCTTTTGTCTAGAAGCCCCTATACATGCCTGAATAGTAGATCAGCTTGCATTTCTCGGTGCCTAGGCTCTAAACCACCGCAGTTACCATTTTCCATTGATTGAATCTTAACCCCTGTCGCGATGGTGGTTGCGTTTGCCTTTCCAATCCCTCCACTGTTTAAGGGATTACATTAGTACCCCTTTGAAAGGTACCCCCCCCCAGATTTAGAACCCTATTGGGCCTTATTAAGCCCTATATAGTCCTTATTAGCTCCTTAAACCCGGGGGGTGTACCTTTGGGGGGGGGGGTACTATTGCAACTCCTTACTGTTAACCAGCGAGTGTAAGGCAGCCGCCTGCAGCGGCTCGTTTGCCGATTGGCCCTGACGCTTGTGGCCCCTAAGCAGCAAGAGGATTCACAGTTCTAAAACGGGGTTAGGTGTTTCGGGTGGGGCACTTTGCTCCTGTAGGCTTCCAAAATTGCTGTGGGCTCAGCATTGGTTAACCAATGCGCAGTAGAATGTCCACGCAAAAGAGGGAGAAAACCCAAGTTGAAATCATGAAGCCATAGATCACGAAGCAAATTCCCAAGGGACCTAGATAGTTCTCAATAGTCCCGCCGAGGATTGTCCTGAACGCTCCTCCAGTTGCTGTGTTCCCGATCATTATGCTTAAGGGGGAGTGGGGAGGAAATATAGATACTATTGCAGGAGATTAAGTAGGGATTATTTCGGGGACCCACTCTGCCAGAAACACAATTAAGTTAGGCCATGTTATGACTTATGCATCAAGTTCGGCGCTTGGGGGCGCCCTGTACTGCGGGCCTACCCAAAAACTGTGCAGAAGTAAACCCTAAACCCTATGCGCGCACTTTAGAGGCGCAACATCCATTGGCAACATTCTACTGGTTGAGGCCTACATGTTGAGTACTGACTGCTTACACCCACTAACAGTTGTCCAATGGGTTGCTTTTTAGACACTAACCTTGAAACAGCACAACACTTTAGGAACACACCAATGAAATTAGTGTTGTGCGTGTGTATGTTTTGTGTCTGGTTTGTGGTGTGTGTGCTGGCAGGCCGCAGACAGACACCACAGAAAAGCACAACACTTTCCGATCAACTTCACGAAAATTAGCGTTGTGTTTTTTTGTTGTGGTCTTGTTTGTGATGTCTGTTAGCAGGTTCCAGTACTCAATCTACATGCGCTGTTGTTCTGGCTGGGGCTAGGGTCAGTCCGTACATTGTATTTCAATCTCATGGCTCGATCGGGGTGACTGCAGAGATCGCATCGAGACCATCCGATCCGCTTGCTGTCGGTCATAAGGAACGAGCTTACGCCTCTCCGCATCGTATGCGGCTTATCAGTTTCTTACGACCGTAAACTTCGACTAGCCACCCATCCACGCTCCAAACACTGGCACGAAACAAGTTGAGCAGCACTCAAGCAAGCTCTCTTTGTCTTACCTTTTGGGGGATTCCGTGTGTTAGGGTGGGGGCAGTACGACCCCATGACATAGGAGATTCTCTAGATTGGCGTATACTCTCCATCTTTCCCCAGCGTCTTCCCGGGGCCGCTCTGTCGCTTCTTCTGAAGAACTCTCAGACCAACACTGCGCGAGATGCGGCCCGCAATCAAGCAGCACCTTC